TCCTGCTGTGATGTGCTACTTGCTTTTGTACAAGTCACTGTGCCCTTTCTCTATCCCTTGTCTATTTAGACACGAGCTTGTCTGCAATCTAAATCTTTAATCATGTTTGTACACTGCAGCACGATGAGAAGCTTTTTATGGCTGCTATTTCTGAGCACACCAATAAACAAACAAACATAGCGTGGGTCTGTGAAGATCAGGTCTTTTGAACTTCTGAAATCTGCTGGCTATGTCATTCAGCACAGATATTTTTAGCTGAAGAGAATATATTTAAGCATGATTAAGAAAAATAAGATTCAGCTACACAACTGTCATTTTCTAGAGAGCAAGGATAATTTGGATATTTGAAGACACTCTCACAAAGAATTTAAGGATCTCTGGCCTGGGAACCACTTGGTCCTACAACAATGAGGTTACAGTCACAAGCGTGCTGGTTGGGAATTCTGACTGTACCTACCCCAAAAACTTCCAGACTGATGTAGGAGTTTGAAAACTGGCAGGTAAACTGGCAGATAAAAACTGTTGACGCTGGAGACAACATAAATTTGAAAAATCACAATAAATTAAAGCTTCTAGTTTTACAGCATAAATTTATCTGGAAATTAAGGGTGGGCTTTACTGTTCTCTCCCTCCACGCTGCCACTTCCCTTGCTGCTACCACTTCTACAGTGCCTTTTCTGGTATTTTCAGGGATCTAGCATCTCAAATAGAGACACAGAATATAAAGAAATCCCCCCCCAAACAGGCCACATGCACTGCAAAGTCCATGTACCTGTATACCTTTCTGGGATTTCCCAGACTGAAATGTGGGAGCCTGATGCATCTTCCTCTATTATGGGGTGCAGATGCAATCACATGGTCACATGTTTGAAGTGGGGCTTCATCTGCGTGCTTCCCAAATACTCTGAATAGCTGAAGTCCACATAATTCACCAATTACTTTCTATGCATGCCATTCATTTCTGAAGTCCAAGAGACATCTGCATTAGAATGAAAGGAATTTTTGAAAAATGAAAAGAGAAAAATGGGGAGGAAAAAGAGCAAATGAAGAGAAGAAAATGTATAGAAAACTTGTCCGGGTGTATCTACCTGGACTGCGTACTCTGTGGCTGTAATATGTGTAACACAAAGGGCTCTGATCCTGCTCAGTTCTTCGGTGCTGTGATTGTAAATATGGTTAGTAAAAGTATGAATAGCAGTGTAATTGAGAAGCCTGGAAGATACACTGTTTCAACGGTTATGTTTAGGTAACGTGCATTATTGCTGTCACCAAAGAGCATTATGTAAGGTAACGTGCAAAGAATGGTTTCAGTTAAAAAGCAACAGCACTGAAATGAAATCGAGAATGCTGTATTCCCTTACACGCCTCCCTCTCTTTCACAGAACGCCTTGCTCCCAGCAGGATTTCGGCAGAAGGACCAGACCACTAAACCTGCCACGGGCCCTTTCGACAGAGAACGCCTGCTCTCGTACTTGGAGAAGCAAGCACTTGAGCACAAAGACAGAGAAGACTTTGTACCGTTTACAGGGGAAAAGAAAGGTACCGTCCATCTGCGCGTGGGTGTTGAGTAAGGGACCTCCTGGGCACGGGCATCCTCCGCTGCCTGGCCTTTTTCTGGAATACGCTGGGACAAAAGAGGTGGGGACCGTTACAGTGCAGGGGGAAGCTCAGGAGCCAGATGTAGAGCTGCTGTGGCAGGGGATGAAGCTGCTCTGGAGTTATAATTACGTGTTTAATCAGGCCCGGTGGTGGGTGTGGGAACGCACGAACACTGGTCCCGCAAAGGGCTCAGTCGGCAGCTCCCAGATGAGCGAATGCCACTGTTTGCAGCCCGGGATGGACAAAGGTGGCCTCGCTAACCTCGCTGAGGCTATTCCCCCATTCGGCATTAGGCCCACGCGAGGGTACTGTAGTGGGGGAGGTGTTCAGGAGGAAACGTATTAAATGCCTTTCTAAGTATTGCCTACAATTGCTGAAGTAATAGCTCAGGGAATACACTTACAAAAAATAAGTATTTTTCCACTTGTTTACTAGCACATCTGGCAATGCTATTCATGCAGACAATCTCTCTGCTTCCCTTTGTCCTACAGCTACGGAAAAAAAGGAAAACGTAATTCTAATTGTTCAAACATTGGTAGGATAACTGTAGGGCAGAAACAGTCATATTTTTAAGCAAACAATGTTCCTTTAGCACCCTTAGTTACTCCTGTTCCTTGTACAACACCAGTTCCTGACATATTCTTCAGTATCGGCTTTAGCAGATGAAGTCCAATGAAAACCACCACATGTTCTGTGATTTCTGCAGTCAGTTTACAATTATAATCTAAACAAAAAGAATTGTACTAAATTTTCTTTGAAGTCAAAGGCCAAATGCCATGAAAATACCCTTTGTTTCTTTGTTAATATTAGAAATAACTGAATTAATCTGAGACTTTTACACCTGATGAGGTCCAGTACCTTGACAATTGAGAACTGGATGAACAGCACAATGTCATTTTTGTGCTGCTTTAAGGGAACTGGCTTTGAGAAAGAATCTGTTTATTTTGAGCTTGGTCCCATATTGGTACTTGTGTCTCTCTTCTGCCCCCAACTTGGCAGGAGGAGTCCTACAGAAAGACGACCAGACTTCAAGCACTGGGCTTCTCTGACTCCTTTTCTTGCTCTCCTTCCCCCTTGCTCGGCACTGCAAAGTGCAAAACCTGAGCCTTAGAAAACACGTGATTGAGATCTCCGTCTGCCACGTGTACTGAAAGCTTCCTATGAATTGTATGATAATTCTGCTAATTGGGTGAATCTGGTGAAACACGCTGAATGTCACGTAAAGGCCACACGTGGCTGGCTCTGGATCTTAGAATCCGTGCTTGTAACTGCGGCATTACTTATTTTGACAAACCCGATTGAAGAGACAATAACAGAATGACTGTATTGAAATATTAATGACTTCATTTTCATTTATACTGAGATATTTTCTGTGCGAGGAAATAAAGCAATCCTGCAAAGACATTTCCAAGATATGATGCTACGTGCTAGATTTAAAGTCACTTTAATTAGAGGATAATTACTATTCTTCCAAAGCTTAGTAATTAGTTCAGGATAAATAATTTACATTTCTAAAATGTGTCCTGCAAGAAACTAAAGAAGAATATCTCTTGAGGAAAAGCTAATTCTGTTATGAGAGAGACCATGTTGTGGTCTCTAAGGTGTATTTAGAGATTGGTAAATATTTATATGATTATATTATATAGATGCCTGTTAAATGATTTCTTTACATTATAGCAGCACTATTATGTCACCAAACTGTAAATAGTCCCCAATTAATTTTACACTAATTCTGCTAGTTAAAAATTAAGTTCTGGGGCAGCTCCAAAATGCATCCAGCTGTGTATAATTAGAAATGGGAGGTGTTGATGTCAGTGTACCATTTGGCACTATTTACCACCTGAGAATATTTGTGTGTCAGTAGGATTAGAATATGTCAAGTGTAGTTTAAGCTTTTGTCACTGTTTTGTACTTTGATATTTTTCTGCCACTGGGAAAGCATTTATTTTTTCAAATTTGGAAGTGGGATGCTTCTACCAAATGTTAAGTGACATTTCTACCAGTTGCTTTGTTTATCGTGCAAAGCTGATACTGCCTTGAAAATTCAGTGATGAGCCGAAAAGGAGGCATTCAAAATATCCTCCTTCCAGAATAGTCTATGATACATCATTATTGTTTATCTAGTGTCTCTGCCTCTCTTTTTTCACATTAATGTTTTATTGGAGAGTTCTTGACTAAAGAGGAATACCGAACAGCTGCCGAAGGACAAGATTCAGTTGCCTACGCTGGTCTCTATATGCTGAACACAACCATCAGGTTTTGATTGTGCTAGAAAACAAGCCAAAACAAATTCCAGAGCTGACGGGGGTATTCAGAGTGGTTAAAACACAGGAAGTGTTAAATACGAGCTCAAGGTAGGGGGCTGGTCGTGCAGGGAGTTGCCTTGGTTTTGATTGCAATCGTGGTTTTGAGAGGTTGGAAACGTTGGGCAAAACCAACCAAATGTATGGCACGCATTAGGGTTTTGACCTGCTGCCATATTTCAGCTTGTTAACGTACTACCTTAATTGCTGTACAAAAAGAAGGTTTTAAGCCTGGATTGGATAGCTCTCAAATTTCAATGAAAACCCAATTTTTGTGGTGAACCAGGGCCAGAATGGTCACAGCCTGAGAGGCGCACACCCAGACCGGCCACCAAGCAGATTTTTCAGACCTCTTCACCCCTAACACAAGTCAGGGGTGGGTACTTCGTTTGAATGTCCCCATGGCGAGTGTTTGCTCCCGTTGTGGTATGCAAACAGTCTGGTGGCTTTCAGGAACTTTGTGCAATGCGGCTCTTAATCAGCCATTCCCACAAACAGAGGGTTTGCTATTAATGAGGTGTAGGGAATTAGGGCTGATAATTGTAACCATAGTGATTAGCAGTTTGTAAGTGTTTATCTTATGTATTTTTGGATTAGTTCCTACTTAGGACAGAGATTCTAGAAATCCTTACATAGAACCTGATGAACTACAGAAGTTACTTGGACTGAGTAACACTGCATTTAACACATGTAGCTGGAACAGCCGGTTATCACGCTTAGATCACTGTGAAGCCTTTTCTGTATCATTTTCAAGTTCATCAAAGGTCCAGAAATAAAAAGAAAAGGTGGAGAAAGTGAGGGGCAGTGCAGGTACAAAATATTACAGAGCAACGTCAATGGGGCATGTTTTCTCTTACTGAATGTGGTACGTATTCTGATCTCAGTTAAGATCTGAGTACTACTGTAATACAAACATAAACTATTAACAGCGTTTCTGTTTCTGCTTTGTTGCAGTGGTTCTCTTAAGTACACGATATTAATGAAACATAATTGAAAAAAGTTCTGTTGTAAAATATCGTAAAATATGAAAAGTTGGCCATGCCATTTTTAAATGCTGTAAAGATTGCGGTTTCAACCCTTCACCACTATCCCTGTTTCCTGCAAGGTCTTCCACTCCTTGCCAAACCATTTCATTTTGGATCCAATTCAGTTCTCATCAAAGTCATGGAAACACTCCAGTGGACCAGGCTATTATTATTTGTGGCTGGAAAGGGAAGGGGAACACGCTTGTATGTGATTAAATGCTAACATTTTTAGCCAACTGATAGAAGGGAAAAGAAAGAAAATAAGGATGATTAAACCAGAGACCTTTTGGCCAAACTGCTGTTTTCAGTTGCTCTGGCAGAGACCATCTATCTCGCATGTTGTGCTGTGCCAAGCAGAGTATCAATACGCAGCACTAGTAATAACGACAGTCATTTTCAGAAGGTCAGAGTATTAGAGTAGATGCTAATGAGTTCCAATTCCAGTTTCTCTAACTGACTCTATGTAAAAAAGTTAAGGGTTAGTTCAGAGACACGGAATCTTTCTTGGATTGACAAAGGCAGTCTTTTCACCCCAACGCTGAAACGGTTTGTTTAAATTTTTGCCACCTTCTCCCTGTTCTTCAAGTCTTAAATTCAGAACCGATGTTTGTCTTTCAAAGCATTGAAACTGCTGCAGTTGCTGACAGCAGTGCCTCTAGCCAGTGCCTTTCACTGCTTGCTTTTGTAAGACCCTGTTTTAGTTGCTCGTGACTTTGCCAAACTCACACAGTTCACACTGAAATTTCCCATGCTGAGAGTCTGCCTCGAGCTGAATTTTTGGAAAGTGTCAGCAAAAAGGACTCAGCTGTTTCCAAGAACAAGATTAGGAGAAAACACATTGTTTTAGCCATCTAAAGTAAATTTTTCCAGCTGCTTTTTTATGAGCTGCAGTGCCTCCATGCTTTGAAGAGGGGACTTGAAACGTATGCCTTTTGCAATCCCCAGGGAAATACACTTGAATTTGGCATCTTCAAAATATTGTACTTTCTTGTACATCCCGTTTGTTATAGTGTTCTCCAAACATTCCCCCTGCAGTGAGTATTGGTCATGTCCTCAGCGCTTCGCCTGCGTGTGCAGACAGCAGAGCAGCGCCCGGAGAGACCTGGCGTGGCCGGCTGGAGGGTGCGTGGGCTGGGCTGGATGCTCTTGGAAATTCCTGTCACACCAGAACCACGGCAGGGAGCCTTTCTCCTGCTCTGACAGCATTCCCCTCACTTTGTGAGGGCACTGTAAAGGAGAAAAAAGAGTAAATGGCCAGCAGAGAGCCTAGGGCAGAGAGGTGGAGGGATCGGTTGTTGAGGAGCTGTGTGAATATGGTCAGGATGAAGGACTAGATGTGGCAGCTCTGGGGAAAGGAGCTGTAGTAGGAGAGAGCAGTGGAAAGGAAGAGAGGGCAGAGGGAAAGGAGGTGGTGGGAAGGGTCGGATTCAAAGATGAACAGGACCAGGAGACACAGGGGATGAGGAAGGCACAGGGGGCAATGAGGATAGGAACAGAGGAGAAGGATAGGTGAGATGGGAGAAAAGAGGCCAGAGGGGAACAGCACTAGTGTGGCATCTAGCTCTGCCTAAGTTTCAGGGCTCTTTGATGTCCCCGAGAACCTGAAGCCCAG